GGGTGGGGCGAAAGGGAAAAGTGGCCAGAGCAGCGGGGCTGATTTCCAAGTCATTGTGCGCAGAATCAAGCTGCTAGTGTAAATTTTGCTTCTTGGGATTTTGCACTTGACTGCCCCCCCCACACCTTGGTTGCTGTGCGTGTGTTTCTATGACGCACCTTGCAAAGGCACAGCTGAGCTAATGAGTTTTGTTTCATCTTCTAGGTTTTTCCATTACTGAGGTGCAGAAGAAACAAGCCATGCTTAATGCCAGCAAACTGAACCAGAGTGGAAAACCAAAAGGCAAGTCAGGATAGTTTTCCTTCTCTTTTATCTCTCCCTCCAGTAGGGGAATTAACTCAAATTCTAGTATTAGGAGGGGAGACACTTTGTCTCTTTTCACACCATGCATTTCAGAGCACCCTGAACACATTGAGCTGCCTTTATCCCTGCCAAGGAGATCCAGGATACAGGGCAATATACAAGAACCTGCTCTTGGAAGCTAGTTTTATTCAGTTGGAAGCATCTACCCAAAAGCAAAGTACCTACTTCAGGGGTAGAATTGTCCTCAGAACAGCAGGGAAAGGCAGGATCCCCCTCCCCCTCAAAAAAGACCCCCACTTGCTGCAATTCCATAATAATCAGGCCTCCTGGGTTTGCTATTTAAAGAAACCTGCATGTTAAATGCAAAATTTAATGTGATGCCTAGCCACATTTCAAGATAAAAATATTACTAGTGGCTCATGTGTTCAGAAATGGTAGTTGTGCTGCAGATGGCTTGAGCATGAGGACCCTTTTATCAGCTTTTTCTTTCCCCCCACAAAATGTCATGAGATCAGGTAGAAGGTGGACATAAGAGATAAGAAGGTCCTATTGGATGCTTTTGCTAAAAGGCAGTGTTGAGTTATTTTGAAGAATTATTCTATTAAATTTAGATCATGCTGGGCATCACAGGCAAGAATGCGTTGAATCTGCGTCAATGTAACCTTTTATCCTCTTGCTCATGTTGTTAACAGTGGTCACCCGGACATATTACGATTTCTTGATGCGCCAGAAGCACCCCACATTGCCGACGAACCTCCCCCAGCAGCAAGTTTTCATGCTGGCGGAGCCCAAGCGCAAGCCTTCGAATTTCTGGCAGAACATCAGCAGGCTGGCACCGTTTCGAAAATGAGGGGAAGCAGCCTGATCTTGTGCCTGAATACCTTCTGAGAAAGCACTTTATGCATCAGTCCTGCAAAACAAAGCACTAGCTCCCCCTCCTGGCTTTCAGAGGGATAGCATCTTCCCTTTACTCCCTTATTTCTTTTGCCAGACTGAATGAGCTCAAAAGTGTTACAACATGGACCATTTTTGTTGTTGTGTACGTACGCGTGTGTCTGTGAAAGTGAGCTGAGCCTGCCCATCTCTTTTGAATACCCAGGAAGAGAAAGCAAGAGGCTTGAGTTAGAACATAGTTGGAACCTTTCCTGTTTTCTTTCCTTAAAAACACAAAAACCACCCTTATTTTGTCATTTTCCTTTTGGACCATTCCTTCCCTTGGGACCATGATTTGCTTGCAGTTTCAACAAGGCTGCCAGACAAAATAGGGGCAAGGGGATGAGCAGTCCCAGTGCCAGCTTTGCATTTGCTCCAAAAAGCTGTTCGAGTGTTGTTGCTGCTGTTAGTTTTCTCCTGGGACGACAGACTCCTTTCCCATCACCATCCTCACCCATTTTCACAGAAATCCTGAAGAATCCGAGCATGGCCAGTGAGCCACCTTTGATCTTCCTTTGCTGAAAGCAAAACTACTGACCACCAACCAGAACCTGACTGGCCAACCTGAAGCATGACTAACAGCCGAGACCTAGTTGAGTTAATGTACGTTGTGGGGGAGGGGGAAATGTGCCTAAATTAACTTTAAATTACTTTTATTCTCTACCAACACTTTGCCATAGTTCTTGGCCAATGAATTTTTTTTTCTGTCAGTGTTTTTAAATGTTTATTTATGGTAAAAGTGCAGATAACTGTATTTTGTAAGAGTTTGTAATCTGTCTTGTCAGATGTTAACTTGATGCCTGTTTTGTCTATTTTTTTTTCCACTAAAGACAAAGGCCAACATTTGTAAGCCTATATTCCTAAAAAAAGATGAGACATGTCTGAAGGTGATTTTCAGATGTACCAGTACCACTTACAAGCAAATCAGTATTATCCTTGGGAACTGTGCCACCCACGCAATAGTCTGCAGAGGCGGTGCGGGGATAGGAAGCCTGGGCCACAGAGTTCCAGATTTATACAGAAGGGTGTATATATAGACACACTGACACTTGAAAATGGTGGGCAAAAATACCCATGTAATCCTTGACTAGAAAAAGAGAAAGATTTGCCTTACTATAGCAAGATAGCTAGAAGCCATAACTGACTGAATCCCATCCTTTAGGGATTTCCTGGTACTGTGAACTTAAAAAGAAAACCATGTACTCTGGTATGAGACTACTGTGAGGGGGTGAGCACTCAGAAGTCTGCCACAGAGATGCAGTGTCCAACTACGGCTACCCAGCCGATAGTTACGCAAATCCAGAAGCATGTACAAATTCATTCTTGCACTATATCTTTCCCCTCGTGGGAGGGGCTACATTTAATTTCATAAAGAAACTTGTAAAAGTGATTTCCACTCCGTGTGTGTCTGTTATAGAATTCTTGGTCCAACAGTCTCGTCCTTTGTGCCTGGTTATTCTAAAGTGAGGAGCGAGCTGCCTAGCAGGCTGGGCTCTATTGCCTTTGTTTCTCTCCAGCTCCAGCCATGTTGACAGCAAGGATGTGGAATCCATGGTCCTCAAGCTCTTGCTGAATTTTTCAGCTCCCATCGTCCTTGATAGGCCACGCTGGCTGTAGTTTATAAGAGAGGACTACCACATCCACACCATACACGTAAAGCACTCTCACACCATTGTAAGTCATGCCCCCCCCCCAGTGCAAATCCTGGGAACTATTGTTTAAGGCTGATGAGAACTGTAGCTCTGTGAGGCATCTCCTAACACTTGGCACCCTTAACAAACTACAGATCCCAGGATTTTGCACAGTAATCCTTGACTTTTAAAATGATGTGAGAACACTTTACATGTATGGTGTGGCTGTAGCCCAAGGAATCCAGCAACAGCTAGAGGACCTCAGTTTCCCCACCTGGTCTAAAAGCTGATTCACATTACTTTTGTAAAAGATGCATGTGAGACTGCAGCGTCAAGTGATGACTTGTATGTGGACATAATTTAACTTTTTACATAATTTCAAACATACCAAGCTGGACCCCAAGATTTCAGAGATTTTGCTGATGCAATGGGGCTTTCACATCTCCTTGCTGTTGCATCCCTTAAAGCAGGCCCTGTGAATTGAATGGGATGCAGCAGGGCAGGGGAACTAAGCTAAGCTAACTCATTGCCTTCTGCTCACACAAGCAACCATTAAGACTAAACCCTTTATTTTTCAGTTTACATAACTGGCTGGAAGTCTCCAACTGATGAGAAATGATATGCATGCATCCCTGTTTGAAGCTTTCTTTAGTGCAATTACACTTTGATAGCTCCAGCAATCTGGGCTGTAGCATGGGATTTGGAGAGGCTAGATGCCAGTCTAGATATAGCCATCATGTACAAGATGATTCCTAATTTGTTAGTACTTTTCATCTCTTGAACTGTTTAATGTTGCGGGGAGGTAGCGTGATTTCCAAGCCATTCAATCCACATGAGTGAGGCTAGATTAACAAAAGTCACCAGGTTTTACAATGAGACTCAAAAGTGGTGTGCCGCAACATGATCAAGAGCTAAGAACGCTTCTGTCAGGTGTAGACCAGAAAATACCAATCGCATTAACAACAGAGTTCAACCTAGCCAGCTACTAAGCACAGAAGTATTTGAAGAAAAGTGTAGTACAGTCATCAGAGAGAGGAAGTCCAATAGCAAAAAAGAAAGACCAGTCTGGAAGTAATGTGCCAGAGTTGCCTTTGCTTGACCAATGCGAACTATGCAGTCAGGTGGCCAGTGCTGCAAATGAAAGCACTTTTTACTTGTTGAGTACATAGATCTCAGGAATTATCAGTCCCATAGGATAAATTGTATGCTGTAGTGTACAGCAGTACAGATCAAGTACTGAAACAAGGAGCAAGGGATTAGTGCTGAACCAAGCCAGAACACCCCACAACTGGGTGGCAAGGACATCCTACTGCTTTTAACAATGGTAGATGGGTGTGAAGTTAGTAGCCTGCAGAGCCCAGAAAAGGAATGCAACAACATAGCTTACATTGTTCCAGGGATGTGGAACATGAAGCCCCCAAGAGTTGATTAAAATCTATAAAGGATGGATAAAATGGATTAAAAGTCTAAAGAAAACAGGTGAAACTTGTGGAGTTACTAAGAATTTAATACCAAGAATTAAACAGGCCTCTGCATCCATGTGAAATAGCTTTGTGTGGATCTGCCACCACCCACTACTGGAATACTGGTCCAGACAGTGCCCTCCATCCAAAAAAACCCGCCTCACACTTAGCTTAGTGCCTGACATAATTCAGAGTCCGCCCCATATCCCATATAAACAGACAAGATTGCCATATTGCTGCCTTCAGGAACTTCATAGAATAAGCAGGATTCTTGTTTTTGGGTTTGTATATATAGGAACTCTAACTTCCATAGAAGAATGTCAGCACAGGGAAAGCTTCTTATAATAATTCTCTGTGAAAGCATGCAGTAATATAGGATCTTTGATACCACCAGGAAAAGTGTGCTATACAACCAACTGAAGGACTGATGCCAATTTAACACTTTTTCCTTTTGAGTAAAGTAAGCAGCTGTTTTGATATGCTGTGGTTGATCTGAAGCAGCAAGCTAAGCATACAAAGTTACATTACGGAGCAAGGGCAGGGAACCTGGGGCTCTCTGCATGTGCAGATGCTCCATCATCTCCAGCTAGCATAGGCAACTGGAAGGTAAGATGGGAACTTTGAGGCCTGTAGTTGTTCCAAGAAAAAAAAAAAAACAAGACTAAAGGACCACGATAAGCAACACAGTCAATCTTTATTGAAAACTGAAGTATTAATACATAACAATTCCTGTTACATAAACGTGCTTTTAAGAATTTAACTCTGAGCTCATCTACTCATTGGATTGCATAAAAATAAAAATGAATTTTACACAGTTGGCTCAGAATGAAATTGCCACTCCTATGTGTTGATGCAATAGTTCAATGCAGATATGATGCTTTAAACTGGTTCTGGAAGACAACATTGACCTAAACTTGGAAAAAGTACCAATACAACTGCTTTAAGACAGTCTTCTTTAAAAAAAAAAGTTATAAAAAAAGGAAACCTGTGTCTATTTCATAACAAACACTATTACTGGGGCCTCTTGCACCTCTGTTGCATGCACTCCCCCTTTTCACCCCACAAGGGCAGCCAATAATAGCATTACAATAAAATCCCACTAACAAATCCATTCTACTAAAAACAAGTCTGTACAGCAGCAAGCTAAATGAAATTTCCCCGGTTTGCTTGCTAAGTGCTCAAAAGTCACATCAGATTGGAAAAAACCACACAGATCATGTCGGGTAATTAGAGGTCAAACTATTTAGAATATTTTGATACACTAAGTTGGCTCCTGACACTGTGATACTCAAAATGTATTCCAAGTCACATTAGAAAGGGTCAGATGCCCCCTGCCTTCACTGGCCTGAAAAGGCGGTTCAAGAATCTAGATGGCTTGAGATATTAATGCAAAAACGTGCTTATGTAGCTTTTCTCCCTTCCATTTCTATTGAAGACTTACAGCCTGACTAAAGAGGTCCTTTACAGATGACTCAGACACACATGCAGCTTCCTTGCCTGCACAACCTTCCTTCTCCACTTCAGAATGAAGGGGGTTTTACAGGCTGAAAAAGTAGTATCTATACAGCACCACTCAAGTTAGTAAGCAAGGGGCTTGGAAAAAGCTCCATGTGCCCACACCCCTGGAGAAAACCCCCACAACCGAACTCTGGATTTGGGGCTTAGTATTTTACATGCACGGACAGAAATGGCATTTCTACTATTTGATGTATTCTAGCAGAGTTACCCAATAGAAAATGCTATGGTGAGCCTTCACAACTATCAAGAAATTAGTTAAAACCTCTATATGGATGCCGACTTCTTTCAGAAGCAGCCGCTAAATACCGTGTATTTACCTAACAATGCCAACTCACCATTTTCATATAAGCAATTTAGATATTCTGCTTTGCGTAGAACAGTGTCATCCAATCTCTCTGCATTTTAATAAAACAAATTAAGCTAGCTTTACAATACTGTGCTCAACCAAGAGGAACACTGCTCATTTGATACACATAGGAGAAAGATTTGCCTAATCAATTCAAAATTCTATACAGAAATTAAGATCTGTGAAGATCAGCTGACATGGAAGATCCCTATGCAAATACCGTTCCATAAAATTTAACCAGATTACAAGTGTTGCATTCTAAGTGGCTTTTCATTTACAGGAATTCAGCTGAAGTGAATCCCACCAAACAATATTTCCATTATAGCATCATGCTTTCATGGTTACTTTATGAGCTTGTCAGAGTACTTGAATTTCTGTAGCCTTCAACAATATTTTAGTTACACATTTATAATCAGGATTAATAATTGAGGTTTAGTTTCCTGTCAGTAGGTTAGTGCTAAACACCACTGACTAAATCTACCAATTCTTAGGCAAATGATGTTTCCATAGAATGTGACTATTTTGCTATTTTGCTCTTCTTTAAAAAAGAGACACTTAGAACACTGTGTTATCTACCTTGGGAACGTCTCCTAAATGATACTTTGAACATTATTCAAAAACATAACTTTTGAAGTTTAAAAGCCCAGATCCTTTTGTTTTCTGTTATTGCTGTAATTTTTGATTACATTTATGGCTGCGTTCATTTGAAAAAGCAGCTTGATTTGAGCCTTGTCTACACTGCATTAGCTCCCTTTATAGCTTTCTGGGAAGCTCCAATGCAGCCACGTACTAAAAATTTCGAGGTTTTACCCCACCCACCCATGCGCACCCCCCCGCCCAGGAATTCTAAAACAGGGAATGGAACAAACAGCAGAAGAAAGAATTCCACAACACCTCCTGCTGCCTATAACCCACTTGAAGTACAAACTTTCAGTTTCATATTCATGCTTTTTATTATTTGCAACAATATACCAAGCTATATACACCCCCTCATCACTGTGCTTTTGGTTACTTCCCTATTGACTGTAATGGAGGCATGGAACTACCTCCCAAAAATGCCCTCTCCCTCCCTCCCACCCACAGATTAGAATTTCTGGAAGGTGCAGTATCTTTTGCAAAAGTACTATCCCCCCCCCCGGCAGATGAATCCCTAAACACAACTTAGAAAAAAGTGCTCAAGTGAGATCACCTAGAAAGCTGTTACTACTACTGTGTCCAAAAAAGCAAGAGGAAGCATTTGGAAATCTGAAGCTTGAGGAGAATAAATTATAACTTGTCCTTACCATTCACAAAGTGCTGCATTAGCTGAAGAGAGTTCAGAGCATTTAAGAGACTGAAGGCAGCAGTGCTTCCATTTGTTTTCAACATGTCCCCAACAAAGCCGTATTTTCAATGCTCATATCTGTGGCAAGAAATATTTTATTCCAAACTTGCTAAAATGGACATTTGCCCACACTGGATGATCACTAGGTCTGTGGAGCACTTTGAAAATAAGAATTACAGATCAATTTCACAAATGGTATAGCTAAGCAGACTCGCCCAAAGCAGTACAGACTCCAAATGGTATGGGTAGGATTTTGTTGTTCTCTGCATATGGGACTTTCTAAACTGCAACAAGTGCTCAAGATTAAAATTTAAATATCTTAATTTTTTGTTGTGCTAAAGGCATTTGGATCAAGGGGGCCATCTACAATGTGCTCCTTGGAAAATTAACTTTATAAAACCTTACACTAAAACAAAAACATGAAGAGTGTCTATTATAAAATAAAGGTATCAAGGTCCTCACCTCTACAAGGATACGAGATGTGGAACCCTCCTGCCCCAGGAAAATACAGGACGGCAGCATTAAAATCAGCATGCATACTACACAGAAGTAGCTGCCAAATGCAATTTAAAAACTGATCATCCCAAAATAAAGTACAGGGATACTCAATCTCACAATTAAAAAAAGAGAAGCTTTTTGAGTAGTCTACCAACACTATAACCTAACATACAAATACCAACTTTTAACGGAACATTTGATAACCACTTACAGCACAATTTGTTGTACGCTGGAAATACTGGGAAAATAATGTCCTGTTACTGTTTACCTAAATGGTGCCAATTTAAAGAAAGCCCTTGATTGCATTTAGCACTGAAACTAAACTAAAAATAAAATCTCATAATAATTTTGGTACACATGTGGGTTCCAAGACTAGCCCTATCTCCCCACAGAATTGACTTAGGAACTTTTATAAAAACTTAAAAGTCATAGGCAAGGAATTCAGGAGTCACTCGCTGCAATGAAACACTGCATCTGCTTTCTTAATTCACTGTCTTCTAAATGCAATTTAGGAAGCAATAAGGATATGATAGGATTATGCCAAAATACTAATTAATGTCTTTGTACTTGATCACTTTCTAATTCAGTACTCATTTTTGGAACTCTTCCATCATGACAACTCCTACCACACTTTGTTCATAATCTATGCTGCGAGGAAACCAAGCCAAGTAAAATATTTTCAAATGGCTTGTTTGCCTTTACCGTATCTAACATGTAGTTGAATTCCTTCCTATTTACATTAGTACATTTTACAAAAGCAAACTGGTTGAAATTGAAATATTTTTAGCTGACCAGGACTGGTAAGAAAAATTATCTTGGGGTGGGGTGGGGATTGGAACCAAAGGAAATCTGATTCTACCAGCAGTGCGGAAATTTCTTTTGGACATATCATTTAAAACTGTGATTTGATTTTTTTAAAGGAGGCAAGCCATTATGTAGATAGATTTTCCACCTAATATTCTAATGAAGTATACCTTGATGATTTATAGACAAGCTGTTTTTGCCACTGATAACCACACTTCCTGCAAAATTTCATTCTTGTCCTTAAGAATGTTTATGCAACACTGAATCTAACCCCCTCTCACTGGAAGAAAAAAGGAAATGGGGGAAAAGGTATGCTTGGTAAACTGATTCTCTGCAAACTATGAACTAATTTTCCAGTCACTGAACTAGGAAAGGAAAATATCACTTAACAGTGCCCCCTTGAACTGGTGCCTTCATCAACTGAAAGTTGCTAATGTATATTATGTTTTTCTATGAAAAAAATCACTGTCACAATTCTACCTCTTAAGACCCTGCATACATTACAACAGTGCATTAGTGATACAAATTGTAAAATACTTTTCGGCTCCTTTGGATTTTGCATATGACATTTTTTTTTTTTTTGCATCAGTCACAGCAGGTAGATTGAGCAAGCTTTGTGTGTTCTTAGACATGCATTCAACTAGATATGATCAATAAATTTATACTCCCTTTAATCATTATAATGAGCTAAAAATTGCAAGACAGTCCACAAAACAGGATTTGCTTTAAGACTAACTGCTGGAGTTCCAAGATGTAAGATATGCAGCACTGGGAAATCTTCAGTGATGTGGAATTAGTGTTTAGCAAAGGATTGCAAGCATTCAGAAGAAATAAGTCCTGGTTGGAGGCATGAGGGCTTCAGCACCAACTTTTAAACCTCAGTTACTTGATTGCATATCTCCCATCTTCAAACCTACATTCAAAGAAGGGTAAGAAGGCAACTAAGTAAATGTCTGACCTCGTGTAACAAGATCCATGCAATGTCAAATATAGAAACAATTCAAATGTGGCACATAATAGTTACTTCTGCACTCAGACTCGCCTTGTTCCATATACTCACCAAGAATTGGCAGATTCATAGCTTGTGCTCAACAGCAAGATAGCCCTATTCTTCTGTCTGCCTCCTCAATCTAACCTAGCAGATTTCACTTTCAGAGCTCATCTATCCAACCTGTACTAGAAAGCCTAGAAACCCCATGACTCAAGACAGTCAGATTCTGCAAATGGATCAGAACATTTCTAGCAGAGTAATCAGATCCTCAGTCAAAGAGATATATGTAAAATGTTAAAGCAAAAATCAACAGTAAATGCCCTGTTTCAGGCAATTAACAGCTGCTCAAAGCTTGTTTTAACTTTAAGATAGTCAGGAAAATTGAATGAGGGAGACCCACTCCATGTGCTGCTGGATCATATTAAGAGGCAGTGCAGATGTTAGCCAAAGCTAACTCTCATCAGTACTCCCCATTGAAGTCCACACAGTTCCGAATCCAAATGCCGAATTCAAAATTTTATCAGCCAAGTATTCATCCAAGGAGACCAAAGCACAAAAGCGACGCACAAAGCGAACATAGTAGGGTCTGTAGCCAGTGTAAAGTAATCTTGCTCTCATTTTATTTTTTTAAATTTTCTTTTGTAACGAGTGAAAAACATAGTACATCGGAATATAAGGACACTCTTCAGAAGCCAAACCGCTCTGGATTGTAAACAACGTTCTTTCAAAACAAGGCAATGTTAAGAACATATAACCAAGCCTGACATTTACAGGTGACACATACCAACGCCACCTACTATCAAAAAGTTATAACTTATTGTGCTAGATCTCTAGCAAAGACGTTGCTATGATTGTTACAACCATACCAGTACTTACACTGTGTGGTAATCACCACTGTGGGGGCACGTAGCTATAGGTTGGCGTTCCTGGGGCCCGATAGGTGGGCATTGTAACTGGGTGTGGGGCTACAGGAGTTGGGGAATGCGTTGTCAACAAGGTACCTGAGGAGCAAAGAATATTTTCTTAATAAAGTTGCTTTAATTTAGAAGTCAACATATCTATAAAAACTTACATAGGATTTAAAAGGAACATCGTTTTGCAAGCTTGTGGCCAGGTGTCCCTTTTGCTCAACCCCCCCCCCTCCAATTTTGTAGCAAAAAAAGGAGAGAAAGTTACACACCGAGAGGCAGGTATATCATCCTAGTTTGGGGCTGAGACAGCGTGTCTCTTGAAGCTACTTCATGAGTTACATGGAACAGGAAAGGTTTTTAGGAAGATAGTTAGACTCTCCCACTCCCTGCCCCAAGTACATCTACATCCTCTGAGCAGCTCTTCAGCTTGCAGTATTTCCCCACTGTATAAAAATGCTTCACATAAAATTTATCAGTAGAATTGGGTGACATGGTTCACAAGTCAAACTAAGCCAAATCATGGCTCTGAGATTTGAGAGAGGGGATCAAAATCACTTTGTGCCTCCCCATTGCTCTGCTGGCTGTGACCATGGTTTGGTTTAGCATGTTGTCTAAACCTGGGATCATGGCTTAGCTCTCCTGGACAGACCTTAAGCTGTGTAAACCATAGGGCAAACAGCTTGTGGTTAGTCTGTGGAAAGCTAAACCATGACCCGTGGTTCACAGAACACACTAAATCAAGCCATGACTCAGGGCAGTGCAGCAGCAGAATAACCAAGGAAGAGTAAAGTGGCCACAATCTTTGCCCCTGGAACCCCCACACTAAGCAATCTGTGAACCAGGCCAAAGTCTCAAGTTAAAATCCAACCACCACTCAAGTGTATGGGCAGCAGATTTCAGACAAATCAGAGTAGTTAATGCACATTAACTTGTGAAACTCAAGTGCTACAGGATGATCTGACTTCTAGTCCTAAGTGGCATTTTTTAAAAGTATTGATCTCAGTCATGATAGCCAAGAAAGTTCAGATATACAATATCCACTTATCACAAGTTGCACGAGAATTTACACGCAATATCAAACTGGCCACACTGATTGATATCAAGTGAGACTGAATACTGACCCTGGCCCAGAATGTAGTATAACAAAAATCTATTTACCTGCTGACATTGCCATTGTGGTCCCAGCCACCATTCCCATAGTGACACCATTTCCTCTGGGGGGCGGAATTGGTGCTGGGTACATAGTTGCTGGCATTCCATTGGGTTGCACAACTGTAGTGTGATGAATTACGTGGGGTGGTGCTGCATATAAAGGCTGTGTGTAATAAGTGCCTTGCTGTTGGAAAAAAATAGTTGGTTTAGTAAAATCCTTGCCACCACTGTATGCATTCTAAAAGGGCACACAAAACTATTTCAGGAAAACTCCCTTAAGTACAGACCACAGATTTAAATTGGAGTGGTGGGGTGTGTGAGAGAGATCAAAGGCAGAAAATTACATCTCTTTCCTCCTCTGACATTACAACTCAGGTGGGAGTTGGACCCCTGAAAAAACAAACAAACCCACAACACTTGCCTTGTTAATCTCTAATTGAACTGTCATTATTCTCACACCTGAAGTCTCACATTTTGTTTCCAAAAAGCAAGATCCCGTTTGTACTGAGATCCTGTAATTTTATCAGCTTAAATCTTTGGGATAGTTTAATAAAGCAGGGTTATCTTTCTTTTTTGCTTCACCCTGCATGCCACAAGGCAGTAATTCAGTATCTAGACGTTTATGTCTATTGTTTGTATTTGCAACTATTTCTCTTAAGAGAAAACAAGCATTTTAAAGATGGAGTTCATTCACAAGCCTGTTTCTATGCATGTTTATTTTTGTCTGAAGTTTGTCTCTGACATTCTGTTAGGAAAGGTTGCGCAGGAAGGTAGCTTTAGGTATATATTTATATGTGAATCTGGTCAAGTACAACACCCGCAATTGGGGACTTGCATAAAGCTAAAAGATTCCTTGCACACAGAAATCTAGACACCCAGGGGGAAGGATTATATATAGCTTTTTACATCTGTGTTTTTATATCCATGGAGTCTTAAATGTGTGCAATGTTCCTACTTGCCATCTGAGTGGCAAAGCTCAGTTGCAGGTTTACACCTCAGTTATTTGTAGGCAGAGATTTTGAGGAAAAGTGAAAATTGAACCTAGAGGAGAGGGTGGAAGGCACAGAAAAACCTTTTCAGCTGAAGCAAGTAATTTTATCCATCTTGATACTTATTTTTAGGCCCCATTTTAAAAAGAGCTCATTTAGGATTTATATAGGAGCTCATTTAGGATTTATATTTTTATATACAAATCTTTCTTCCATGATACTCGAGACAACATACATATGGTTCTCAAGCAGTCTCTCACTCAGGCACCGGCCAGACCCAGGTCTCCTTAGCTGCAGCAAGTTTACTGTTTCATGTGCCTTCTTTCAGATCATTCAACTGAACCTTTTTTAAATAACTTATTTATAAAATTCCCATGCTGATACTGGGATACGTGGCCTATATTGCTGTGCCCTTGCCACACAGCAGCCATATTTACCGAAACAATAACATCACCACATATTTCCAAGAATGATAATGCTCAGAAAAATCAGATATTCCCACAAGTACAGTAACCTAACAGAGTAATGTAAAGCAAGAGCAACCAAAGTCAAAACTTTCTGCACAACATACTGATTCTACAGAAAACACTAACAGAGTAGAGAAGGATAGCATCCTGGGCTGTTACAGAATTAATGCAAACAGTAAATCTATACTTTTTACCTGTGCATATGGATTCTGCTGCGGATAGGCACTTCGAACCGGATACACTGCAGTCTGATAGGGGTTGGGTGATGAAGAATAGGGAGGCACTGCACCACTGGTAGGTGAACAGGAGACTTTATATGGTGTGCCTGGTGTATAACCTATAAACAGAAAAAAACAAATTTAATCTTTTTGCTGAGCTTTAATCAGATTTATTTAACACACCTGGGCACAAATGTAAGCCTTCCATTAAGCCGTTTGAATGTACATACATACTTTCATAATTTCTAACAATCAAGCAGATTAATAAACCACAAGAATTAGTAACATCCATTAAATTTTCTGTTGAAATAGAATCTGCTACCACACACAATTCAATAATCAAAAACAACAACAACAACAGAATATCAAAGAGTAGTACAGGTATTAAGGTTGGTCAATATAATACTTGGGTTTTAGGTAAAGCACAACAGTTAGGTAAAGCACAACATAAATGTTGTACTTTATTTACCAGATTAAAAATAATAATACGAGGCAGCAAATATTTATAACTTTGGAATACTCTGCCAATAGATTCAGCAGGCCCCCTTCTGTTTCAGCTTTTAAATAGGTGCTGAAAACTTTTCTGTTCTGTCAGGCTTATGAGGGCAATTAAGAATACATCTTTCCATAATAGTTAGCCAATTTTGGATTTATTTTTTTGTATGGTTTTATGTATAGTTATAAACCACTCTTATTTATTTATTTTACAAATAGAAGTATATATACTTATAACCAAATAAATAAAACAAAACAAGTCTATTCACTTTGCAAAACTGATTGTGGTTGAAGTTAGATTACAGAATCTATTTTGGAGTGTTTTTATACAGATTTCTGATACCCATGATGCATAGCTCTATTTTAATATAGCCGCCATGTACCTAGCTAGAAGCATCGTGATATTTCACCTAAGTTCTGCACTTCAGGGGTGGCAGGGGGATGGGGAGACATAGGGGAAACAAACAACATTAATCTTGTAATAATCTCTTACAAGAACTTTCTTTAGATCTTGGAATACAAATACACACACAGAGAAAAAGAATAATCCTGGATCCAGAACAGATCTGAACCTGGTTGCTAAAACCCCCAGGGGGTGGGGGCAAGGTGTTCAAGAGGATGGTGGCTAATTCTAAAATTGGGTAGGATGTGGAGCTGGAAGGACAAGGCACAATGATTAAAAAATGGAGGGATGTCCTGCACAGTGAGGGGACCTTGGTTCAAACAACCCTTGACCACCTTTTGCTCCAACAATCAAGAAAAATAATGGCTATGCAGTGCACCTTCCTTCTCCACCCCACCCCCAGCAACAACAATCAGGGATACTGTGAACTGGCAAACAGTCCATTATTCAATAGGTTGTAGCAGTATCCCCACATGCAGGGAATACCAAGGAAAGAATACACAGTGCCACCAGGAAGCCCCCGTTGTGCAAACCCCAGTAAACTCTGTGATGCATGCAGAAGGGAACATGGAGTACATGTTGGCGAATACCCAACACTCCTCTCCATCTTACTGCCAAAAACTTATGACTCATTTATCTTCACAGGATAAGAGCAAAAGACAAAAAGCAGAACAAACAAAATGCAGATAGTGTTCCATTGCAACTCCCTACATTGGATGATAAGGTTTAGTCTTAACTTCCTCAATATGTGAATAACCAATTGCAAGCGCCAAGGAGACTACCCATGTGAGAGTGGGAACTAGGCTGAAGAACATCAACCGGAAGAGTACACAGGAGGCAGAGCCCTCTCTTACACGTTCACCTAGTCACAGAACCCTACTGCAGGCAATACCCAATATTTACCATCCCCATGTCTCTCAACAGGGCACCAGGTTGCCTTCAACACACAGAGGGAAGAAATCATAGAATCATAAACTGAAGGGACCCCAAGGGCCATCTAGTCTAACTCCCTGCAATGCAGGAAACTCATCTAAAGCATCCATGACAGATGGCCATTTAACCTCTGGGAGCGTCATGCCTCCCAGAATCAAGGCCTATAATGGGAAATGGGAGCGGTGGAATTGTCCTAATTAACTCTCACAGATATCATGTTCCTTTCCAGAGTACATGACAGACAAATGCCATGGATGCAACAGTACCTAGCATGGAGCTGGGGAAAGATGAACCTGCTTCCTCTGTCTGTCACACTCCTTTTTCAAACATAGCAACAACAAAAAGTTTGGCTACTCAGTTTCTTTGTTTCAGAAATCCTCTGCAGATGCCAAAAATATCACTATTCCCACCCAATGCTTTATATGGTTGACTTTGACATGTCTGCATACATACCTGTTTGGAATGTAGGATTTGCTGCAGGGTACATATTTGGAGAATAGGCAGGAGCAGCAGCTGCATAGCCCATTGGGAATCCAGCTAAGAGAAAACAGTTGAAAATTACTTTCAGAAATACCTCCAATGATCTACTTGTATTGTTTTCCAAGCTTACAACTAATTAAAATAAGGTGAACATGACTTCTTTCAATTGTATCTCAGTGATGTAATCAAGCCCATGATTAATATTGTGAGGCTTCAGGCTATCAACCAGGGGCACCCAATGTCGTGCCCTCCAGATGCTGTTAGACTCTAAACCCCTCCAGCCCTAGCCAGCTGTAAGGCTACAGGACATGTCTAATCATGGCCATCTAACCCCTATGCTTCCAGGCCAACTGCACAAAGATAAAAAACTGCTTCAGTCAGCCAAAAAGAGGTTGAAATTATACAGTGCAATGTAGCCACTTTTCTGAGGAGATCTTCATCGGATAGGCATGAACAATAAACCAAATGTATTATAGTACAGGGGTCAGCAACCTTTTTCAGCCGTGGGCCAGTCCACCATCCCTCAAACCATGTGGTGGGCCGGACTATATTTTTTTTTGGGGGGGGGGGAAGGAACAAATTCCTCTGCCCCACAAATAACCCAGAGATACATTTTAAATAAAAGGACACATTCTACTCATGTAAAAACACCAGGCAGCCCCTACAAATAATCCAGAGATGCATTTTAAATAAAAGGACACATTCTACTCATGTAAAACCACGCTGGTTCCCGGACTGTCCACGGGCCAGATTTAGAAGGCAATTGGGCTACATCCGGCCCCTGGGCCTTAGGTTGCCTACCCCTATATATAGTACATTGCCACATATGAAATGGCTATGGATCTATTTCATTGTGTTTGTTGTCCATGCATCAGGAAGTTGTGGTCAGGTGTGGATGCCAGCCAGATGCATAGGCTACAGAATGGCAGGTGTCTATCCTTAATCTATACTATGCAAAGCCACCCCAAACTCTCTAGAAATATTTTTTTAAAAAATTAACCTCTGCACAGTTATACGCAACTACTTGTGCATTCTGCTAATTCCAAAGTCCAATTAACTGTATTTTAGATGCTAGAGGATGAGGACTGTAAAGCACTCTCATCCATGTAATACACAGTAAATGGTAAATGCTAGGACCTTCAATATTGCTACCACCCAGTATAGCACTTTTCCTATGTATTCAGAGAACTGTTTTTAAGATTACAAAGTAGCCCTGATACTAGGGACTCTTGTGGTTTGTACGAGCCTATGTGTGTAAGCGAGAAATTCAGCAACAGGTCCTTAAACCCTGATGCTGGGTGGGGGAGTCTTTTGCTTTATGACTCATTTTTGTGGACAAACCTTTAACTGATGTATGCTCTCTGTTTTGTAGTTTCATATTTAATATGAGTCACTTCAGGAATTCTTTGTAGAAAGCAACACAAATAAAAAAGCTCTAAATAATATTAAAGTCACCCCTAATATTCTCACTCTCAACTACTTTTTAAAATAGGGAGATATTTTAATGAGTTATAAAATAATAATTTATAATAGCATTCAAATGTATATTTTCAATGGTATGGACAGCCTGAAATGAGACAACAGCAACAGCAGACTATTTTGGCTAACTAAGCACTTCTACATGGAGAAACAAAGGGTGAAAAGCACAATGCTTTAAAGACATGCACTGGCAGAAAACGATGTTAGGGACACACAGGAAGCTACCGGGCCAGACCAGTGGCCCAACTAGCTCAGTAATGTCAACACTGACCTAGCAGCAATTCTGCAGGGTTTCAGGCAGGGAATCTTTCCCAGCTCTACCAGGATCAATCCTAGGACCATATGAATAGAAAGCAAATGCTCTGCCACTGAGCTATGGCCCTTCCTGTGTTCTCTTATCTGCAGTTAGTTACAGGACAAAGGTTAAGCCTGCATCCAAAGCATTTTTCTATTTGTATGTATTCTTTTCAAAATAAAAAGCAAGTCCAAAACTGGCCGGGTTCACCTGCAGCTTTCAGAAATGCATCATGAAAAACCAAATTGTGGCCTTAGCCTGAATGTTAATCCCCACAACAACCCTGTGAAGAGGCTGTGACTGGCTCAAGGTCATCCAGTGAGCTTCATGACTGAGTGGGGATTTGAACCCTGATCTCTTAGGTCCTAGCCCAACATTCTAACCACTGCACCACACTGGCTTCCTAGAGTACTTCTGCTATGGAACAGCTATATAAATTAAGTAGGTAAATAAATATTGCAAAAGCAAAATGTCACTTGGAGAAGGATCTGAAGTATTTCCCTTGGAGCTTGAACTTGTTTTATTCTGGATCGCTTTATCTGATGTTTCAATGTGTTGTAAACCGCTTTGAGATTTTTTTCTTTAAAATATGAATGGTATAGGAGTGAAATTAATTATAATAATAATAATCAAACTGCATGAAACAGTAAGTTGTTTATATGTTGCCATATAAGAAAGGTTAGTTTAAGCTAAAACAGTTAGAAACCAGCAATTTAAACTAATGTTCAAATCACCTGCAGCTTTCAGAAATGCAGAGGTAGGAAAAAATGTCTCCCCAACCCAAACACTATACATAGTCCTTCCCATTCCTTGTGGCCTCAAAAGGGCAGAAACTATCAGCACAGCTCTCTGCCTAGACATAGGTTTACACTGCAGGCATTGTACATTCCCTTGACCTTCTAGATTCTGGTAGATGGTACAGTCTAAGAGCAATCCTCTGTTTGTGGTGGCCCTTACAGCCAAATAAAATGCCTCTGTGGTACTGACATGACATGACAACACTCGGTCCAATTTTCTCTCGGGAGCTATTTGTGCATTCCACAGGCTATATGTGAAGTTTGTCACTCGGGAACTTACTTGGGAGTAACTGCTACTACTCTACACCAATGCATCCTGAAGTTAGGTTTACTACAATGTCCAGTTTGATTAATAGACAGCACCCAGGTAATGCATTTAAGAGATTCAGTTACATACCTGGATAACCAATTCCTTTGGCATTTGCATAGGGAACCCCAGATGATCCAGGACTATAAACAGGATTCATGATTTCGGAAACTATAGGGGGGAAAGCATTTGTATAGAAAAAGAATAGGGAGTCTTAGTCATCAATGTTCAACTAAAATGTGAAGCAGTAGGAATCCAATATTATCAACTACATTTTCATTATTCTGGCATGTGCTTGCCACAAAGTCCCTCTTAATAAGTTCTTTATTTTAATTGTGCAACTAAGATTTTGTTAACATATATGGCTATATGTTGCACCTTTCATGATATCTGGGCATGTATTACATGAGACGCAATAAAACTGGCAACAGTTGTTACGGCTATCTAAAAAAAGAACCATTTCTCAAGAGTGGTCCTTGATTTATAACAGGTAGACAAAATGGCACACCTCAAATGGTGTAATCCTAAACACATTTATTCACTCAGTATCACAAAAGGTTAATGACACTTGCTCTCCTTTTAAGTATGCTTGGGACTGCAGTCTAAAGCACTGTAGATGAGCACAATTGACAAAGATGAGACAAGCAGTTTTTGACACTACATTTTGAAGTGCGGTTCATAGTCTGGTTTTACTTTTGAAAAAAAGATGTCCCATATAAAGAAGGTTTCTGCCAAGAGCAAAAAGAAGCCCCACTGTGACCTATGGAGCTTACTCATTACAGCATGCTTAGGATTCCATCCTTAAGTCACCCAAGACTTGTCTTGCCATCGTGTGAAATACATAATGCAACTATCTGGGAGAAATTGAGCAGTTTTCAGCCTGATGGCTGATTGGCTGGGAAAGTGTCTGGGAACTAGTATGTCGCCTGCAGTTCCATGATGGGAAAAAAAATGTGGACTATAAATGTACTAAACAAATAAGCAAAACATACTACTAGTTTGGCTTCTTGGTGTTCGGTCAATAAGTAGAGCACAACAAATATAGGGTGAGACACTGGTGGCATCACCTACCACGGTGTGTGATTGCATTCAAGCATAGTTTAAGTCAGGGTTCGGTATTATGAGAACAAGCCTCTGGCCTGAGTGCTTTCCCGCTCCTCTTGCATGGGGACAAGAAAGTGACCACAAGCCTCCACTTCCATTTTAGATTAACTGCAGTTTGGTGCCCCATGAGAAACAAACTATGATTAATCTCAATGACAGTTGAAACAGCACAAGTGGAAAGGTTTTCTCATCCATCCATGTAATTGAAATCAATACACACTACAGCATATAAGATCAAGCTTACACATTTCATTTTGGAAACGAAGCTATGTCCCCCAGACTACTTATGGGTAATAGTTCATAAACTTCATGAACTATGGCTTAAAGTTAATGATGGGTTGTCAATATATGCATGACAACAGCAAGCTATGATAGGGCGTTTGTACTTTTAAAATTTGTGTAAAGAAGAAATTGAGGCAGCTGCCGTTTCTTTCACCCCTTCATGAGAAACTATCCTTGCCAAAATTCCACTTCTTTAAAAGTAAGTATCCCTGTTCTCAGTCACATATGGTAACTAGAGAGAGAAAAGCCCAATTTTCGTGTATGCTTAAAGAACCAGGTTATGGCCTGTGTTGCAAGCAATTATTGAAAGCCGATTCTAGGTTTGAAATGATTGGAGGTTACAGTTGTAGAACACTGATCACAATACTCAAGGGTGCAAATATGAGGGGTGTGTAAGCACCTTAACTGTGTTTCATTTCAACTCAAGACCTTTCAGAACTGAATCACTGGAGTGCTTTTCACACTTTTCAGAGTACTTAAAGAGCAATTTAGCTCTTCTGGATTGCAGACATCTTATGTTATTAGTCTACTGATATCAACAGAACCTACTTTCCTTCAGTGCACTTAAGACTGGGGCATAAGGGAAACAGCATCAAAAATAATAATTTTACATTGCAAAATGCTGGTAAAGTTGTGTCTGGCCCTAGCATTTTTTGAAAGACCAGAATGTACACCATTTGAATCATAATCAAAAATATTCATTTAAACTAGCCTAGTGACGATAATAGTTTACAGAACAGAATTTCAAAGAAGCATTGTACCACCATAATTCTGAAGAAAATTATAGAAAAGTGGGTCAATGATGATTCTTCCACAGCTTGAGGCCTTAAATGCAAGATTATTCTTATAATGTTCATTTCTATATCAGCAAGAAATCAATCTTAAGTGTGCAGCACTAATGCTCTGGAACTCTCTGCTTATTAACATCAGGCAGGTACCTTCACTGTACTGACACCTGATAAAAACTTATTTGTTTAGGAAAGTGTACTCAATTTATTTTTTAAAAAATGTATACTTGCTGATGTTATTTTAAAATAAACATTTTAGTTATTCTACTTTATGCAAACTGCTTAAAGATGTTTATCTTTTGATTAAGCGGTCTATAAATTATGTTTAATACATAGATTAGAAAACAAGGAAACTGACCTCTATAAGACCAGTGGTCAGGGATGATGGGAATTGTAGTTCAAAAACAGCTGGAGGCCCAAGGTTGGGAAACGCTGCTCTAGTGTATAAATACCACTTCTGCCAATAATCCTCCTACAACATTTTGATGAAATTAGTAGTGAAACTGGGTAGGATAAACTGAGCTAAGATGAAGCTGTTTGATGAACAGAAAGCATACGTATATGGGTAAAAAAAAAATCTAGACTCTTTTTGGCCTGAAGGGTGAACTGCATGTATCCCACAGATAACAGTGTTTAAGAAGTTCTGCTGTTTTATGAGCTTCAAACTTTTATAACATTTACAATTATAGGCTTCTCTAAAAATATTATATCTGAGAAGACAGAAAGTCTAGTCAAATTAGTAGGGTGCTACTATCAACATCTTACATTTTTATGATTATGTTTAAATCCTCCTCATGTCTTTGCAAAAAATAAGCAAGCTAAAGAATAAAATATATGTATTTAGGTGTTAGAAGAACATATGTCGTTAAAAGTTATGTGGGTACCCTGAAAACCCAAGACAAGACTAGAGTGGCAGTAGGTCTTGAAAGATGGGGAAAGTTATAGGGAAGAAACATTAGTTAAAAGAATTTCAAAACTTGACTTTCAGGACACAATGACATTCACAATGCAGTGTACAAAGCTTCTCAGTGGAAACATAACATATGAAACCATCATATTAAAGCCACATTACATTATCTCTTTAAAATAAACAATACCAATTAATTTAAAATACAGAATGAAATAAAAATGGCCAAGTTTTCTCTTTAAAAGTTTCAATAATCAGGCCACAAGTATTTTCTGAGCAAGGTAATTCCACAAATATGTGGTCACCATCAAGAATCTGGTCTTTGGTATTAATCATTACTTCTTTTATTGACAAGATAGAGAGCCTCAGAAGATGGTCTTAAGGCCCAAGTTGGCTGACAACTGCAGGTGGGTTCTGGTTCCAAATCAGATAACCTGGTTCCTAATCAGGCCAAAATCAAGAAAATCAGGTTGACTGCTCCGCTGACCACAAAACTAAAAACAGTAATATTCTGTTGCCTAGAAGTTGGAACTGAATGCAAATGGCCAGAGAATTGACAAAAAGGAAAACTGTAGCAGAAACAGCTGGAAAGGGTATAGTCATAGTGAAGAACAACTAACAGAAACAAACGAGTTACTGCTCAGGGTTATGACAATGACAAGCTAAGTTGTAATGTAAGGCATTTGGTTTATTCAAGCATGATATAGATGGCACAAATATAGAAAAAGAAAAGCTCAAATGCCAGATGTGAGGACACTTTAATTGTCTGCTTGTTAGCTTGTATTCAAAAAAAAACAAAGCAAACTCCAATCTATCCCTTTCTGAGTTAGGTTAAAATCAAGGAAGCACACATGGCAGCAATGTTTCTCCATTACTATATGGTTTAAATCCTAGAGATTAGATTAAGATGAGCAGACAAGAGCCAAATATTGTTATTAAGGAAACTCTCAAACCACACTTGATAATAATTAAAACAGACAACACAAACATATTCTTTGGCTTATAATGTCATTAAAAAGTATTTTAAACAAGTGCTACCAGTCTACTGCAAATCAGTCTAAAAGGCCTTCAAGTGCTCTATTTTTATTATAGAGATAAATATAGAGCAAGTTGGATTAAAAAATTAAGGAAAACATCATGAGGCTATCATTATGTATATTCTGTATTTGATTTTTGGACTTAGAGCCATTTCAAGGATGATTTGCCTTATCTGTGCACATATGCAACCTGAATTGGTATACCTCACAATGTGCATATATATAACATATGCCTAAAATGAAGTGATGGGCAGCCCAATCCTGCATGTTTATTTGGAAGCATTAAGTGGCACCGTAGGGTGGTAAGAAAATAGCTGTCCACATGTCTATGTTAAAAAGCCATCAACAGCTTTCAGTGGAAGCTACCTCCATGTCAGCGTGCAGACAGGCCTGCTGCCATTAAACACGCGAGACCCACGAAGCCCACCCACGTTAGTCAAGACTGAGCCTTGAAAGACACAGCCGGTAGGTATAACGGGCGCGATCGTCTCTCAGCGACCGCCTCCAATAAGCGCAAACCGGTTTAAATCCTAAAAGGCAGTTTTCTTTGTCACCGCGGAGCGTCGGGGAAAAGTAAGCGGCCCAAGAAATCCAGGGCAATTGGGCAGATCCTTTTCTGTGCAAGAGACGCAGCCGCCCCCGCTCCTAAAGCTAGGCCGAGAAAAGCCTTTAAAGTGACCTCTCCGCCTCCCCCCCCCCCGGCACAAAATAGAGGGAGAAAGGCTGGGGAGAGTTAAGGCGCCCGCAAAGCATCGCCGTTCAGCAGCACGGCTAGGTGCAAAAAGGTAAAGGAGAAGGAAGGGGGGGGGAATGTGCGGAGAAACGAAAGCGTCTGATCGCCCCCGGAAAACGCGACGAGCAGAGCTGCTGCAGGTCGCCCGCGGGCGCGGAGTCTGCGGCCCCGGCCTTGCCTCGGCCAAGCATCCCTCGCCCGGGGCCTTGCAAGGGAACTGACTGCAGCGCCGCCGGGGAGCGACTAGGCCAGCCGAGGGGAGGGAGCCCGCCGGGCAGCTGTTCTGGCAGCGGCCCTGAAAGCCTGCAGAGGCCGAGAGCTGCAGGTACGAGGGCGGCCGACCACCTCGGCCTCCCCTCAGGGCAGGGGCTGCGGGGGGGGGGCGTCCGCTCCTTCGCTTACCAGACTGCGGCGCTTCGTCGCGGCGGCGGCCCCGGCCCGGCTGTCGCTCTCTCGCTCTCGGGGCCTGAGGCGGGAGGGTGCCGAGCCTGGGCGGTGTGTGTGTGTGTGTGTTAGTGCCGCCTGGAGCTGCCGCTACCACAACTACAAGCCCTTCCTGGCTGCGCCTTCCCGTCTCGCTCTCTCTCTCTCTCTTCCAGAGAACTGCGCAGCAACCTAGCGGCCCAAAACGTCACATCCGCCCGTCGGCTGGGTGCAGAGGATGGACGGCGGTGGCGGCGACGAGAGCCGCGCGCGCCTGAAGCCCCCCAAAGCGAGCAGAAAGCCGCTGTCACGTGCGGGGGGAGAAAGGCTCCTTCGCTGCCGCGGCTCCCTGTCACGTGGTCTCAGGAGCCGTCGCGCTCTGCTGTTCTCCCCCCTCCCGCCCCCTCAGACTGCAAAAGAAGCAAAGGAGTCGACGGCTGTTGTTTTTTTAAATGCTATTTGTTAAGGTGGCCTCAGGGCTGGTCACGTGTAGGAGGCTTTCTCAGGGTCATTTGCACCTGTAAGGCACATGCTCAATATTGTCTTGGACTATCAGAGCGGGAGTGGAGAAGAGAGGAAGCTGCTTATACCGAAGGCAGGCATTGATGGCCTATGTAGCTCGGTGTTGTCTGCACTGACTGGCAGCGTTTGTCCGCCCTTCCTCGACATGCTCGGGAATTGAGCTTGGCAGGTCCCCTTGCAGAACTCGAAAGCTTGCGTGCAATTCTGTGTTATTTTGGTTGGCCTAATAAATGTATAAGGTGTACAAGACAGAGGACAGGTGGTAATTTCCGGGGTTACAGTCACTTCAGGAGCCTGTCCTGCTCCTCCCTTCCACTACCTGTTTCTCTCATGGAGGCTGTGCAGTTGGAGAAAGAAACAATCGTGGTTCACAATCAAAATAAAATGCTGCAATGCAGTCAGTTAAAACTTAAACTATACAATCCATTAAACGTAGTCTGCATTCTTTTGCACTGCATATTTTGAGACCAGGGAGTTTTTTAAAATGTTGGAGCCGGGTAGCTATCCCAATATTGATTAAGAGCACAAAGAGATGCTCATGGCAGCCAGCCACCTTCCTGAGAGGACATGCTTGCATAACTATTTCTGGTGTTGTTTTGGAGCCAAGGTGACTCATTCCTGTACAATAATGATTGCCCATAATACAGTTTAATAGTTAGAGGGCGGATAAGGAGGGCGCCAGAAGGCTAAAATTGTTATCGGGGGAAAGGGTTTTATTGGGTTCCTAAATCAGGAAGAGATTTCTACTCACATTGAAATCAGTGCAAATAAAAAGACCCCTGCAGAACTTCCGTGCTCAGCGTGGGATAAGTTGAGTGCTGAGCAGAGAAGCATTGAGGTGGGGTGTTGGGCACAGGGCTTACATATATGCCACTGTCCACGGATTCAGCATTTGTTAGTTGGGGCAAATGTCCGAACAAATGTGAAAAGGGGATTCTGATGAAATCAACTCTAATACACAAACATTTACATAATAATATAGCGTAACATAATAATGTTAGTTTTTCAGGTGCCCCAAGACTCTTCATTGGTTTAACACAACTTGCCTTCTGGAAATTGCTGAAAGGAAACAAAGGTGCGTGTTTTCAGAAATGCACTGCAGAACTGTGCATCTTACTGTTCTGTAACAAAAAACCACCTCACACACATGTATGCATTTATAAATCTTATCTATTTGTAACTGCCATTCTTAACCAATAAAATATGGTTAGGCATTCTGTATAACAAAGAGAATATGAGAGCATTCAAATCAATAATGTTTTAATATCTTTCATACAAATCGTATTAAGGAAGTGAGAAGGAACATACCTTACTTTCTCTGTGGTGGTCCCCTACCTTTCACACATTTGGGTGTGAATGAATAAAAGGTCATTTCATTTTATTCATTTTCAGCATTGTTTCATGATTTATTTGGCAATATCATATTTGCTTGCTGCCTTTGGCAGTGGTGGCAGTAATTTAATTTCATCAGAATTTCCTGGATGTTGCATCTGGGACATGTTGCTGAGAAATGGGAGCTGCCTTTTTTGTAGCAGTCATTGGTCCTGAAGCACAGCCTTATTCACAACCCATATTTCCAGCGGTATTTAACCCCACTGATATCAATGTACCTAAGCATATTTTACTGTGTGTTGAACTGTCCTTCTTGCACTGGAGACTTAGAGCTGAACTATTTATTGTGAAGTTATTTCTTTGATTTATGAAAAATAAAGAAAAATTCTCTCTCGTATTTCTTGAAATATTGTTGAGGACATTACTGTGAATAAAGAATCTTAGGCAAAGTTTATATGTAATATTTTAACTCAAACTTTGGTTTTCATTCTAGGATGTTATGGTATCTCATTGTTCTTGGTTTATGACTTGTGCAAAAGGATGCATATCTACATTTTATTTCCATAGGCCCTGATCCAGCAAGCCTTGTTTGCATGTGCTAGCTTTCCTGGATCTTGGAATACCGGTAGTTTTAACGGTTTGTGGTATGTGTTGCATTTCAGACAAAAACTAAATCCTCTCCCTTGTGTTTCCTTGGATTGTTTTGTTGTTGGACAAAAGCAAAAAATAATTATGTAATTACCCTACCCCCCCTCAAAACCAGAGCCGAAACATTTTGCTTTAAAAGCACCTTGGCAAGGGAAATCCCCCCCCCATATGTCAGTTCCAACCACAGATTCAATCACTATTGTTTTCTCCCAAGTGGGCCAATATGAAGCCATGAAAGCTTTTATTATTATTTATTATTATTAAATTTTTATACCGCCTATACCCGCAGATTTCAGGGTGGTTCCCAACAATATTTCAAGAAATTAGAGATTTGAAGTTTGTATTTAAGGTGTCACAATACTTTTTATAATAGTAGTATTTCATGATTATAATAGTACTTCATGAACATCTTTTGAATAGAAAAGTGTAAAACCCATCTTGAGTGAGAAACACAGTAATATGTTTTATCTATTCAGCGACTACATGTACAGGCAACTATTGCTATTTTGTGATAGTGCTTGAAGATGAGGTGACACCAAAACTCCAGCATACCTGCTTGCTTGGAAGATATTAGATATCCGACTTTTTCCAACAAGCACGACGCTGCCAAGATTGGCACCTCCAACTATGTGCCGAAGGCTGCAATCCTAAATCAGGTGTGCAGGGGAGCGGGGAGAGTTGTGGCCACGCAGATGTTGAATTCCAACCATCAGTTTGGCCAGTAGTGGGAGAAGATGGGAGCTGTAGTCCACCAACATCTGGAAGGTTAAAGCTTCCTCCATCCCTACCCCTAAACACCAGGGGACAGCCCCAGATTAAAACAAGTGGGCTTTCCTTGCGAGCGCATTTCCATAGGATCGTGCCGCCTACCTCGCACAACTCCATATTTCCATATCGCTTTACGCTTCGCCTTATCTAGATATTTGTATATAAATATACATAACTGCAGTTTAGTTTTTCCTGCATGCTGGGGAGGGACTGTTCCAGAACTGACCCAGACGTAATAGGGGCGGAGGAAACCTGCAGGAACGCGGATGATACAGAATTTTTTAAAATGAAACATTTGCCCTGCAGTCTCCTTCAGCTCTGAGAAACTACAACTCCCATCTACCCTTGCGGGCATGAGCAGTAGACACGGAGTGACGCGGTTGATCATAGGACCCGTCTGGCGTCAGACGAGGGCGGGGCGGGGCGCGCGATCTTGGATCTCCTTTTAGCAACAAGGAAGAATAAGAAGAAAGCGAGGATTGTTGGGGCTCGCGCGGTCGCTTCCAGGCGTAACAGGTAGGCTGGGCCGGGGCTCGTTTCCCCCTCTGCCCGGGAAAGAGCGAAGGGCGGCGGCGGAGGCGCGCGGTGTGTGGATCTTGCAATGGGCCGGGGACGGAGGGCGGGCAGCTGGTCCGGCGGCTTCAGCTTGTCTGGGCGAGCAGGGGTCAAATCCAACGAGGTCAGGCCACCGTGTTTTGTAATCCCCAGGACTGTAACAAGTGCACGCAGTCTAGGTCGCTGTCCTCGCCTTTTATCCTCCTCGGAGAAGCGCTCCGCTTGCTTCTTGAGGTGCTTTCTACTTCCTGCTTTCTTCTTGCGTTTTCCATCTTAGCCTCGGAGGAGAAGGGGGCTCAAGTTAGGGCGGAGATCGTCTGAGTGACAGTCAGCTAAGCCCTTTTTGGGGTGGAGGGGCGGGCTCTTAAGATAACGCATAGCTGTCAACTTTCCCCTTTTCTTGCGAGGAATCCTATTCGGAATAAGGGAATTTCCCTTAAAAAAAGGGAAACGTTGACAGCTATGAGATAACGCCTTTCAAAGTCGCCCTCCTATCACAATTGTGTTTTCAAGCTGCAGTGTGGATTAATTCTGGAATTTACAGCAGAATATAATTCAGGATCCTCGTCTGATGGACCCCTGTGTGCGAGGAGCACAAAATAAGTCGATAAAGCACTTCCTAGCATAATAGCACCCCCCCACCTCATCGAAAAACAACAACCCGGAAACCATAGTCTAAGGGTGCTGAGAAATGTAGTTCAGTGAGGGGGTAAACAGCACTTTCCAGGATTCTTTGGTGGGCAACACGTTCCATAAACATACTGGGTGGGGTGGGGTGGGGACATTGACAGCTTGCAAGACATGGGAGGCCTGCTAGATAACAAAAGCATCATCTCTACAGATGGTTTCATCGTCAAACTGCTGCTTTTAATTAAATAGCGATGATGTCATTTTTGCTCTAAAAACCAGACTTTGGGATGTCGAGCTCTCTTTTCTAACTTGGGTTGTACCACAGTTGATTGGGCGGCGTGTGAAAGTGCTGCTGAAATACGGACAGAATATGCCAGGGTGGGAGCTGCTTTGGTAGCTTTGTCTCCAGATTAGAGTAACAGTGAAGATGTGATTTATTTATTTGGTGTGGCGTCATTTCCTCATGACAGCACGCCCACCTGACCATTTGGCTGGGGGAAGGGGGAGTGCCCTGCCACGGGAATGCTGCTTGCATCACTCTGTTGTCAGCGGGAAGCCGGCTTAGCCGGCAGGACCCTCTGCTCAGCACGGAGGCAGTTTGGACTGCTCTGCCCCTCCCAGATAAGTGTGTATCCTTGGTCCCTGGCATCTCCTGGTGAAAGCAACCGCCAGTAGCAGGACCCAATCCAACAATCCTGCTGGAGACTCTCAGTAAGAAGGGCCGTAATTCAGTGGTGGAGCCCACACCTTATATGAGAAAAATCTCTGGCATCTCCGTGCAGAGGTGGGAAAGACTTTTGGCTGAAACTCCGGAGAACTGCTGTCAGACCCTGTAGACATTACTGAGCTAGATGGATCCATGGCCTGGCTCTGTATAGTGGAAATCCATACACTCCTATGGACAAGCTCAAGCCCTCACAAAACAATGTCACAATTAGTGGCTTTTTAAACCTAGTACAGTGGGCAAAAAAGCAACCAGTAGTGTATTTTCACTACACAGCAGCTGAACTTTGATTCCTAGAACAATTTTTTAAAATGTGTTAATGTGGATGCAAGTCCCATGGGATTTACTTCCTGGGAAGATTCTTCTGAACTTCATGGGAAAATTCAAGATTTTTTTCTTAATCCTTTATCTGTAAATAAAGGTGCATTTGGTCTCTCACTGCAAGTCCCTTTCTTTCTGTAATTGAACCGCTTTTTGGTATCTTATTGGCCCACAGAGTAGCTTTTTCTCGAATTGAACCTGCAATTCCAGGCATGCTTCATTAGTATTGTTGAACTCAGTGGGATTTCTTTTGGAGTAAACCCAGATAGGATCAACATGCAGCTCCAATTAAACAAGACATCGCTGTTAAAAGAGGGGTAACTAACATGGTGCCCTCCGGATGTTTTAACTACAACTCCCATCACCCCTGATCATTGGCCATACTGATAGCAGTCCACCACATATGGAAAGCACCAAGTTCGCTACCCCTGTACAGTATGCCTGGAGACCGCCAGCTCTCATATACTTTAAACACAAGAGACACAGACATACCCTACCCTCTGCCTTGTAAGGAAGCCTGTCTCTCATTTGGGGAAAAAGAGAGACAGAGAAAGTCCTTCTGTATCATCACACTGCTGCTACACTGATGTCCTTCTTTTCTCCCTAGTGTTTGGAGATGGCACTGGTGAAAAGTGGATGGCTGCTCCGGCAAAGTGAGTAATGGATTCTGTCAGCTCTCTCTCTCCCCCCTCCCTGACTTGTTTCGGTGCCAAGCAACACATTATGTAGAAAATCCATGACTGGATCTTATCAAATTTTCTGTGATGTGCAGCCACTGAGACTGACAATTTGACCTGAGCATGAGCAGTGGGAGAGAGTTTTTCCTCCTGTGCTGATATCCCAATCAAGATTCTCCCTTCCCCAGGAAACTGACTGTGCATCCTCCCCCTCCTCAAAACACAAATGGGGAGAATGACACTCGGAATCAGGAACCTTCTCCCTACCCCCATTCTGCTTGGATTAAATTAGCTGTGTTGAATTAAAGCAAGACACCAGAAATCCAATTCTAGGTCTCCTTCATTCTGTGTACAGTGGTACCTTGGGTTACATACGCTTCAGGTTACATACGCTTCAGGTTACAGACTCCGCTAACCCAGAAATAGTGCTTCAGGTTAAGAACTTTGCTTCAGGATGAGAACAGAAATTGTGCTCCGGGGGCGCGGCGGCAGCAGGAGGCCCCATTAGCTAAAGTGGTGCTTCAGGTTAAGAACAGTTTCAGGTTAAGTACGGACCTCCGGAACGAATTAAGTACTTAACCCAAGGTACCACTGTATTGATTTTGCTCCCCTTATCTTTAGTGTGAACATTTATTTGTGTTTATATTCCCAAGGTCTCAGGGGGACAAATTAGTGTTTTGTATTATATAAAAATTTTGTTAAAAAATCACACTAGAAACACACTGAAGACAGGGATATTCATTGGCCCATCATTGTCACTAGAGGCACAGTTTGCCACTGTGTCTCAGAAACCTTCTTCCAGCCTAGGTACACCAGTCCTTACTTGGGGAGCGAATTAAGTACTTAACCCGAGGTACCACTGTTTTGTTGTTGTTTAGTCGTGTCCGACTCTTTGTGACCCCATGGACCGGAGCACGCCAGGCACTTCTGTCTTCCACTGCCTCCCGCAGTTTGGTCAGACTCATGTTTGTAGCTTCAAAGACACTATCCAACCATCTCATCCTCTGTCGTCCCCTTCTTCTTGTGCCCTCCATCTTTCCCAACTTTTCCAGGGAGTCTTGGCTCAGGACAAGCAAGCATGTTGATGCTTGGAGCAAAAGTGACAACCTTGACTAAAGTTCATGGTTTATATTCAGCGATACAAACCATGAGCCCAGATTTGGATGCAATGTTAAGCAAAATCATGGCTTAGCTCTGGATAGCAAAACAGAAGCAGCACCTGGGGAGGAGTGACGCTTCTTCAGTTTTTGCTCTGAGTGACTACAGTCTTGTTCATTCATGCTGATCAGGCTTGGCTCAGCGTGTCTGTTTCAGAAAAACATGGCAAAAACACAAATCATATTTGGACTTTATGTATATGTGTGTGTGAATTTCATGCTATGGTGACATAAAACAAATAATGTTTTATGCAAAATTCCTTAAAGGCAGTATTCTTGGCCACCAAATGAATAAAAAGATGTCTGCTTGGTTCTTTGGTTGCCTGATGTCTGGCTAAAGGTTTGTCAGAATAAATTAAATAGTTGCTATGAAGTAGAAATAGGAGCTTTTTCCTTGACAATAATTGCCTTTGCTACTTCTGTTATAGATTCAGGGAACTCTGGTTAAAGAGCATTCAAGCATGATCACTGAAAGCAAAACAAATATCTAGCAACCTAATCAATGTGGAATTTGATACTGTTTAGTTAGACCTCTCAAAAAACAATTGATCCCTGTTCCTTTTAGGTACTATATTAAGGCGTTGGAAGAAGAACTGGTTTGATCTGTGGGCTCATGGCCATTTGTTATTTTATGACGACCAACATCGGCAGGATCTAGAGGATCGAATTCACATGAAAGTTGACTGCATCAACATCAGAGTGGGAAATGAATGCCGAGGTGCGAATATCTTTTTTTTTATTTGAACTTTCCCACCCTCTGCATACATACGCCTGCTCGGTGCCACCTGTAATACAAATATGAAGGACTTACCACTATATGTAGACTTGGTTCTAAATTCACAAAGCCATTTCTCACAGTGCTAAACCAGGCATAGGCAAACTCGGCCCTCCAGATGTTTTGGGACTACAACTCCCATCATCCCTAGCTAACAGGACCAGTGGTCAGGGATGATGGGAATTGTAGTCTCAAAATATCTGGACATACCCTAAATCAAGTGGAGCTTGGGTGTGTCTCCTCCGTTTGTCAAGCTTAGGATTCTGCTTTAGTTTCTGAATCAGGCTTCCCATCGTATGAGCCTACTCAAGCCTCTTTGGAGGACCTGAGTTTAAAAGTGAATTAAGCATTTAGCTTGGTGGAGCTGAAGTACCATTCTTTTACTTTGCCTTTCTCTTGGGCAGGTTTCCAGCCTCCGGAGGGGAAGCCTAGGGATTGCTTGCTGCAGATCATTTGCCGTGATGGGAAAGTGCTCAACCTCTGTGCAGAAAGTGCTGATGACTGCTTGTGAGTTTCTTCTGCTTACTTGAAAATAAAAGAACTGTAGAGTTTGGTGGCTCTGGGGCTCTTTTTAACAAGAACTTCCCTTTTGAAAGAGTGACATGTGTGCATAATGGGCGGCAGTGGGCTATATGTTCTTGAATGAGTTGCTATGCAAAACAGTTGCAACTCTCCGAACTGCAAGAAGCAGACCTATCTCTTAGCTCACTTCCCAAAGCGGATGTTTGAGCTAATTATCATGGTCAGATAACTAACTTTCCCCATCCCTTTTGAAACTGGGGGAGTGTAATGACAGCTTCACACTGGGACTTTAGCTGAGCATCTTTGCTTTTTCCACTCCAGATTATCACCTATTAACAGATGGTTCGTTTCCCTCCATTTATTAATAGCCTCTGAAGGATTTATGTCTTTGGGGGATATTTTATTCTTGCATACTGATAAAGGGAATAGTTGTGTCAGATTATTTTCTAGGCTAGCGACTCATCAGATTGAGCATCAGATTACACATGGTCTACATTCGCATGTAACAGCAAACCCTAATTTATTTTGCTGCATTTGCATGTAGTGCTAAGCCAAACCATCACTTAGCACAAACTTATGGGTCCTGTGGGAGACACTTCTTGGTCCTTTGGCTTAGCATGTTATCTGAGCCCAGGCTTGTGGTTAACCATAGTTTCTTTCTGGCTACATCTTGTGGCTAGATTGGAGAGAGTTTAACCATGAGCCTGGGTTTGGATGACACACTGAGCCAAGTCTTGGCTTAGCATCCATGTCATGCTGATGTAAAAGGACCAAGGAGGAGCAAAGTGGCTGCCAGCTCCTCTCCGGGAGTTAGCACATTTGCACAGTCCTTGTAAGGCATAAGTTTGGCTTACCGTCTTGTGCAAACTAAACCATTTTCGCTAGTAACTTATAGTTCATGAACGGCAATTAAGGCGCTTGCCTGGGTTTGCACATCATGCTAAACCATGGTTTATTAACTATGGTTTATTTAAACTACAGTTCAGCATTATGTGTAAACCAGGCCATAGAATTCCGTGATTGGAATGCCTGACATATTTTTACCTCACCAAAAAGCAGCTGTTGTGGGCCAGATTTGGATTGGGACTACAACATAGGGAGCAGGGAGGATTTAACCCTTTGCTCCCTGGCTTTAACTGTACCTTAGGCTTGCTGTTAATCCTTGAGGGGAAGACATGGATTCAGGACATTGAACTCAGCTGTTTTTCACTTCAGTAGCCAGTTTGGGTTGAGAGAGGGAGGAGACACTGTGACCTAAATCCAAAAGCATTAGTTAGACTCTCTCCCTCTGCAATTGCATTCCCAACCATAGCTACTTTTTTTGTATAATAAAAATGCACCAGGTCTTCTAATCATGCCCCTCCCATGTAGTTTCACCACGAATAGTTGCTACGGTTTTTTTCTAAACTTGTTAACATGGATGTACAAATTATATTAGTGATTCTTCCACCATTATACTTTTGTTTTTTTACACTGTTTGTTTCATATTTTCTATAGAGCTTGGAAAATTGCTCTCCAGGATGCCAGAACAAATGGGGTAAGTAGGGTTTTGTGTGTGTGTGTGTGTGTGTGTGTGTGCTTGCAATAGTAGCATTGAGAGAAACAGCCTTTCATTTAGATTTCTTTTTTGAGTACCTTTTTTGTGTGGCTAGTACCTTGGCCCACACTTCCCTTGTTCTGATGGAAGGAGTAAGCGTAGGAAGCGCATAGGAAGCTTAGGAAGAACCTGCTGCATCAAACCAAAGCATCCTGCATCAAACCAAAGCATCCTGTTCTCACAGTGGTCATCTGGCCCTATTCCTATCATCGGCACAGGCCCAACTTGTATGATCCATTTCTTGATCATGTTAGCCAGTGAAGCAATCTTTAGGAATTGCTTTTTCCTGTAAGACCTATTGCAGTCGTTAAGAGTCGTCAACAGGCTCATCTCAGCTATCTGCCAATCACCCATTCCCACCACCCTTCTGAGTAATACCCCTCCCCACCTTCTCACTATATAGAAGGATCTGGCAACTTCTGTTTCAGTGTATCTGAAGAAGTGTGCATGCACACGAAAGCTCATACCAAGAACTAACTTAGTTGGTCTTTAAGGTGCTACTGGAAGGAATTTTTTTGTTTAGGAAGATAGTTATTTCAGAAATGAACAAAAGTCAAATATTACGCACAACATGATGCATAACGCTTCAAAGGTGCCCTTTGCCACTCGCCTATCATGCCTGGAGCAAGTAGCCTTCCCAGGGGAGCAGACAAGCTGCAGCATCTGATTCTGCTTAATACACAGGCACACACCCTTGACATCCTATTCTTTCCTGGAATCAGAAAAGAATCCAGCAGGGCTGGTGGAAATTGCTATGCATTTCTGACCTTGTAGTCCAAGAAGTGTTGTCCTTTGGTGCTTTCTCATCCCTGCTGCAGACCTATCCCAGCTCCCTCCCTTGATCCTTAAAAAGGTAGGAGAGCAAGTCAGGCCAACTCAACAGGGCTCTTTGCAGCTTGAACAAAAACACAATGTGGCTGTTGCTGATCATCCGCAAAGCCATCTGTGTCAGGGTTGCTGCTGTCTTCTGCGGAACATAAAAGTGGCATCATGGTTCTTCTGCCACATATGCACAGGGTGAACAAAAATAATAATCCTTTCGTGTGCTAGAAGCAAAGCCATCTGCTGGAGAGCAGGGAAAGAGAACACAGAGAAATTTTAGGAACTTGGTAATTTTGGTATGTTCTCCCTCTACCTCCGACGGTGGCATCTTCTTTCCACTTTGCCTTGTGTCTGATGTTCTTCCCACGTCTCACCTACCTGACATGGAACAGAGTAGGAAGGCTGCACTTTTCCATTTTGCCCTGCATTGTGCGTTAAACTCCTCAGTTTAAGAATTGTTGATCAGTAATGCTATTTTGTACAGTAAGTCAACAACTCAGCATTTCCCAAAGATGCTAACCTCATGTCAATTTCCTACTGAGTGCTCTGTTTATCCAATCCTGCTCCCATCTGCAGTGATTGCAACTGAAGAATTTGAACAGCTGCTTCTGTGTTTTATGTTAACATGTCCAGGCCTATATTGGTTCGGAAGTGATGTATGACGACAATACAATTTCCTCGTCTCCTCCTCCGTACACGGCTTATGCAACACCATCACCTGAGGTAAGCTATGGAAAACATGATATAAGGAGAGTTTGGTTGGTGCAAGTTGCTTAAAATTGGGCATTTTGTGAGGTGACCTATGCATAAAATTTAGCTGGCAGGTTTCACCTGTCCTGAAGAAGCAGGTGGTGCGTCATACCTGAGCTGGTGATGTCAGGCAGGACCTGTTTGCTGAGTTTGTTGAATCTAGTTGTAAAAGGTCTTAAACCCTTGCCCATCTTACATCACAGCATGGCGTATTGTATGGGTGTCCTCTTCAGTTTCAAGCAAAAAGCCTTGTAGTTAAAGCGAATGGGATGCCGCACTCAGGAATGTTTGTTTCCAATGTACACTGCTAACAATTGTTCTCAATGTCATCAGGTTTATGGCTACCCACAGTACAATGGCGCATATCCACCTCCTGGGGCTCAGGTCTTCTTTACTTCTAATGGACAGACGTATGCAATCCCCTATCAATATCCAAACCAAGGTAACTGGTAATATTTATTCTTCTATGACTTGATTTAGTACATTCAGAACTCTGCAGTTTGGTTTTGCATTCAGTATTTCCCCCCCACAACCCCTTCCCCCTTGGTAGTAAGGTATTTTTATTACTCAACAGTAAATGAATAAATGCCCTAAAAGTACCATTTTTGCAGTATATATAATGCATTTGCCATATTTTTCTGTTTATAAGACTCCCCCATGTATAAGATGATACCTATATTTTTGAACCCTAAATTAAGAAAACAATATTCAAGAATTTACAAATACAGATTTTACAGTACCGTTCCTCCAATACAAATCAGACTTCCCTTCCCCGCTTTTGTGGTGTCTTCTCTTCTCTTATTTAAATTTTTAACACCGCATTTTCTACTTTACTCCATTTTTGAATTATTCTACAATTAATCTTAATAGTACTTTTAACTGCTTGATTTAAGTTAACCCTACCAATGCACTAAGTTGCATACCATAGTATTTCAAATATTCCACAAATATTCCCCACTCATTAATAATCCTCCCCCCCCCCTTGGTTTCTTAACACACCCATTAATTTTGCCATTTTGGCATAATCCATCAATTGAATCAGCCACACTTCCTTGGTTGGAACAGCATCCTCTTTCCATCTCTGGGCAAAAATAAATCAATATTTTAAACACCTGAGGTTGCCCAAATTTGTTGAGCTTTTTGGGGGGGAATTCATCCAAATTAGCTGCTGCTGAGGGAGGCAGGCAGGCAGGCAAGGCAGCAATAGGGAGCAGGAGAAAGAACCAGAGTTAAGCAGGGCATGAAGATGGCAGATGCCAAGCCGAAGCGGAACGAGCAGCTGAAGCACTGGACTGTATTTTTCCATGTATAGAACGACCCCCTATTTTGGACTAATTTTTTTTAGCAAAAGACATTGTCTTATACATGGAAAAATACGGTATTTATAATTTCCCTCCCTATCTCAGACCTAAAATCATAATATTGGTCAAGTAGAAAAAGGTTTAAAATGAGGATGTAACATAAGAGATAGTGGTATAATTCTCATCTTCTGATGGTATTTTTCTCTCCCAAATTTTTGACGTGTACATTACTAGTACCTTTAGTGCATTAGCATGATATGAGATGGTAACTTAGACTACAAGAACTATATCCCAGTCCATAACCATACTGGATTTGAAATTGTTGTTATATATGCAGTTATTTTATATATGTTTTATTATATTGTGAGACGTTGCATAGGAAGGGAATGAAATTAATAATAATTTCAATAGGAATGAAATTAATAATAATAATAACTGCAACATTTTGGCTGCAACCCTGTGATCAACCAGGGACTGAGTCCCGCTGAATTTAGTGGGACTTACTCCTGAGTAAACATGTAAAGGTTTGAGCTGCTAAGTATGTTTGGCTTCTATTTCTGGTTGCTTGTATCAGAAATATGCCATATTTAATTGCTTAAGTCAGTTATGGTCATAAAATATGCCCATGCTCAGGTTACTGAGGGAGTTTCAGTGCCAGGTTGTAATTAAATCTGTGCTGGGGAACTTGTGGCTCTCTAGATGTTTCAGGGACTTCAACTCCCATCAGTCTCAGTCAACATGGCCAGTAGTCATGGCAATGGGAACTGTAGTACAGCAAGATCTCGAGGGCCACAGATTCCCCATTCCTCCATTAAAGGTTGGAGTATTCTTACACTGTCACTGCTGATGGGCAAAGAAACCCGTGTGAGAGTTCTCAAACCATTATTAGGTCAGCCTGTGCTACTACAAAACTATAGTATAAGACAAAAAATGTTTGATTAATTATTCTGTGTCATATGCTTCTGTGATATGACAGCTGCTTTATGGATTATATTGTGTTTGAATGTGGTCTTATGGTTTGACTGGCCTGTCTTCCTGTTCTTTGGCATGAGTGGTTTGTGCCCTCACAATAACAGCGTTGAGATGTGATCCTTTAAACCATGGTGCTCCAACTTTTCATACCAAGTGGGCCGCAAGAGGGGGAGCGAGGCCAAAGTTTGACACCACCTCAGCCAATGCGCTGCCTTCCCAAAGCCAGGTGAACAAGGTGCCAGGCTCTGGGAAGGAGACGCAAGGCTTTGGCAGGGTCCTAGAGGCCTCCTACCTCCTACCCAAAGCTGGGAAAGTGCGAACTAGGTTCTGGGAAAGGAGGGTGAAGGACTCTGGGACTCTGCCAAACCATCATGCCTATGCCTACTTTCCAAAGCCTAGTGCAGTGGCGTCCAAACTTATTTCAAAGAGGGCCAGATTTGAAGAAGTGAAGGGGCGTGAGGGCCGACCAAAGGGCTGACCAATTTTTTTTTAGGACTGAAGTTGTTGAGCTTTTTTTAAGGATTGAAGTTGTTAAGGTTTTTTTAGGATTTTACCCCAGGAAATAAACTGCCACAAGGGCCAGATTAAACCAACTGGTGGGTCGGATTAGGCCCCCAAAATGGACTTTGGACATGCCTGGCATAGTGTCTCGGTTACCCAGTTTTGGGAAAGCAATGCAAGGGCTGTGGTGTGGGAGTGTCAAATGTTGTCAAGGGCCATCCAAAAAGGCCTTGAGGGCCACAGGTGGCCCTTGGGTCACATGTTGGACTGCCCTGCCCAAACCACATTATAGAGGATTGGCAATGAGCCATATTTGTGTGTGTGTGTACACTCACCTTGGGGAACATGACATCTGAATGTAGCCACTGGGTGAAATACAGTGTTAGTCATACTCAGAGTAGACTCAGTAAAAATCAGTGGATTGAGTTACTTGAGTACGACGTAGACATCACCCACAGCTTTTATCGGTCTTCCTTCACATTACCTCCTCTGTGTATTCGTTCAGGTTCCCTGGCATTGAAAATCATTTACTTTTAAAGACCCAGCTATCTAGCCCACATTAACGGCAAGGCTTTCCTTTCTCCATTTTTATGGAGTCCAGAATGTGTTGGCCTCCCAGTTTTAAGGAGATCAATGAAAGGGAACAAGAAGTTTCAAGTTTTATTTCTATTTATATCCCACGGTGTTCTTCTTTCCAGGTCCTTATGGTCACCCTCCTGCGAATCATGTCATCATTCGAGAGCGCTACCGGGATAATGATGGGGACCTGGCGCTTGGCATGCTTGCTGGAGCAGCAACAGGAATGGCCCTGGGCTCGTTGTTCTGGGTGTTCTAGGCTCCCTCTGGAGCCACAAAGCAAAGGGAGACCTGAAGTCTTCTGTGTGCAATAATATGTATTTGCAAAGTACTTCAGTTTAATCTACAATTTTTTTTCAATAGGTTCTAGTAGTACTTTTTGCTGGTGACAGGCAGATTGTAGTTAACAAAAATTCCCAGCTGTCCCAAAGGTGCCCTTTAGTTGAAAAGTGGTTAGCATAATGGCTCGTGGTCAGATGAGTTTGTGATTCTATGCATTGATAAGTAAGTAGCAGTAATATCAATGAAGTGTTACTAATGATGGCTAAATGGCCACAGTTGACTCATTTTTACAGTCAAATATTAACCATCTTGTTAAAATTACTTCAGCTACTGCCTCAGAATGCTAACTGGAAAGCAAGGGAGCACAAAAGTGGTTATTTCTGAATCCAGGGGATTTTGAATCCAATATTTTTCTCAGCACTCCTAGAAGACATAGATGATGATTCAGTAGCCATGCCATGGGATCCATTGAATGTTTTCTTGTATTCAGGGGAGATCTCTGGCATTTCAGTAGCTTGACAAGGATTGCACACTTACTGTACAAGTCCTTCCCAAGGCTAAACCAGGGACGGGGAACCTTTGGCTCTTGAGATGCTCTTGGACTACAATTCCCATCATCCTTATGCTGGCAGAAGTTCAACAAAATATGGAGAGCTCAAATTCCCTCTCCCTCGTCTAAGCAATAGAAAAATCTGACATTTCTTCTAGAAAGGAGTTTGGATTACCATGCAAACCATTCCAGTGTCCTAGAAACCGCAACCTCATTTAGATCCTAGTAACAGTTCCTTAGGGCAGTGTTTCCCAACCTTTTTTGGGCAAAGGCACACTTGTTTGATGAAAAAAATCTTGAGGCACACCACCATTACAGCCCCGTGACGTCAGCGCGCAGCGTCACGCCGGGAGGGACGCACGAAAGTGTAACTTTCAATTTTTCCCCTCCCCCTTGCCGGGGAACCTCCAAGCTTTGGGGGTGGGGGGGGAGGCAGCAAAGCGAGGGACTGAGGGACTCCTCCAATGACAAGGGTTGGGGAAGAAGAGAAAGGGCTATTCTGCTCCAGTCACGGGAGGGGAATATGTACTGGCCCAACTGGTGTGCGGTCTTCGGAAAGCGGGGTGCGGGAAGGAAGCCTAGGCTCGGGGTCCACCGACCTCGGCGGAGAAAGGCAACAACCGGAGCCGATGACGAGCCGGCGCGTGCGTGCAGCGGCTGGCCTCGAGCTCGGGAAGCTGCGTGCGGCGATGTTGACGCGGGGCGCGCAAGAGCTTGGGGGCGGGGCGGGAGAGAGAGAGAAAGAGTTGGCAGCACCAGGCGCTGTTACTTATTGCGCTGCGGACGCTGCCAGCAACTGCGGTGGTTGTGCGGCGGCCGCCGCCGCAGAACGTCCTCGTCAGTCAGCTGAGCTGCCTGGCAGCATAGGGAGCCAAGGGGCGGGGCTTCCTTTCTGAAGGAGCTGAGGGTGGGGGTCCTCCGGCGCCTTCGGCGAAACGGCGCCGGCCCAGAGCGCTTCTAGGAGGCTGCCTTTGTGCGCGACGTAAAGCCCTCTTTCCCTCCCTCCAGCCCCGTGTCACATGTGGAAAAGGGGGCTGGATCCAGTGACGCAACTCGGAAAACTGTTAGGGAAGCCAGAGCAGGAAAGTGAGTGGGAGGCGGCGGCGCCGCTTTAACCCACGTTTCCTTTTTGAAAGAGAAACCAGTGTTTCCCAACCTTTTTTGGACTCGCCCGCCTCCCTCCAGGCAACATCTCGCGGCACACCAGGCAACATCTCACGGCACACTAGTGTGCCGCGGAACACTGGTTGGGAAACACTGCCTTAGGGTAACGGTGGCTGGAAAGAAAGTTTAACATGCGGACATCAGGCCTCCGGAACATTTGCTAAGGCAGGTAAAAGGATAGTTAATTAATAGGTGGTAGGAGGTGTTGTGATGGGGATAAATGTGTTCAAAGTCTAACTTACTGGTTTAGGTATATGGGAACCTTTTGAATCTGTATTGAGATTTATACAAAGTAATTATGCTCTCTTACCTGCAACTACAAAGTATTTTTAACAAGGGCTTCTACTTTCCAGACACAGAGATACCTCTGTTTTGGTTGCACGCTCCAGTCTTGTATGTGCTTCTGCTTCTGCAGCTAAATTATCTGCTTTAAAGATGTAAGACCCCTACTTCTGCGAGAGGACAGAGAAATGAGCAAGTATCCCCACCCGGAAATTATTTTCAGCGGTGTAGGTTAATAAAATGAAAGGCACACCTGTTTTTATCCATCCGTTGCTTGTGCATCCTGTTAAAATCTGAGATCTACACAAGACTCTTCCAAGTGTGTATAGGCTGTGCTGTGTTCTTTGGTGGACCTGCAAGCTTTGAACAGCAGCGAGCAAAGGGGACTTGGGTTGTGCCGCCTGCCGTAATGGCAAACCCTAGCCGAATGCATTCCATTCCTATTTAAATGGGATAACTGAATTGTGAGTGAGGCAAAGGCAAGGTAGTGGTACTGGAAGTCTTAATATTGGTCTAGTACACCTTGTATGCCAGTGTTTGCCTTGGGTGTGTCTATGCAACTGCTGTTGAAATGCAACAGGGGGACCTTATTGCATCCAGCAGTTGTTGGATCTGAAAGTGTGGCTTTTTAAAAACCATGTCAGCAGTCTAGGACATTTCAAAAGACAGTACTGTGAACTGAAGAATGTGTGAACTGAAGATGCTTTATTTAATAGGTCTGCAGCCTCTTATTTAATACCCATGCAAGTATGTTGGAAGCCTTGTAAGTTACTAAGAAACCGATAATACACTAAAAGCAGCACTAGCTTCTGCTCTGATTTTGTAATTTATCTAGTGTAATTTTAAGACCATCTCTTCTGTGCTATTATGTGTACTGTACAGAATTGTAGAACTTCCAGAAAACTCCTTTCTTTGTATTTGTTACTTTGTGAGGAGAGAAGAAAATAAATGTAGTCTTCGAACTTTTGGCAAGTCAAAAGTTTAATACACTCGTCATTCCTTGATAAGATGTCAAGTTCAAGTTGGTTATAACAATAGAAAACTACACTATGAGCTGGGGGGGGGGCTTCATTTTACCTGAATAATTATTTGCACATTGTAATGGGCATAACGGGAAAGAACACAAGGCATCGGCTAGCTGGATTTTAAAATATAACGGCTAAATAATATGCTCATGTTGGATAAATGTCCAGTGAATTCAGTAAACTGCAAAGCAAATAAAATCTTTCCATAGGTAACACATTTATCTTGCATTAATACCAGGAAATAAATCTTGACCAAGCTCAATATTCAAGAAGGGTTCCAAAAACTTGGGTAGAAATCTAGATTTTGCATCATATGATTGCGAGTAAGATAACGTGCAGTGTCAACTATCCTCCCCATGCCACGTAATTCCAAATATTATTCAATGAGTTGTTATTATTTGCTATGAAGTGGCAGAAAGAAGGCATAGTCTGGAGACATAGCCTTGTAAACACCACCCTTGGAGGCCAACCCTACTATTGAACAAACTAAGGTAGCTGCTTCAGGGAACAGATGCTTGGAGAGAGCAGGGAGTGGTAGCAAGAGTGCTGGAGGACAGAGTTGTGTGTTCTGTGCGGTTTGCGCTCCCTAAGCTAGCCTGCTTTCCCTCAGGTACAGAGAACGTTGCCAGCGTAGATGGAAAATTTGCTAATTCAGTTGGCTTCCTTATTTCTGTTGATAATACCAGGAGGAAAAGGGGGAGTTACAAATAATGTGGATGTCTCAATGAATCTTTTTTCTAAACCTTGCTGAGAACTTCCTAAGAGCAAACCGTATTACGGTAATCTGTTCCATGATTCAAACCAGCACCAGGTAAATGATCTTTCCCTACCTACAAGTCTCCCTCTTCTCATCCAGAAGGAAATGCCAAATCAAGCATCTGACCAGCTGAATGTACTCAGCCAGGAATATATTGGAATTGTCACAGTGATTGTGATTGTGATTGTCACAGTGGCCACAATGTCCCAGGTTATGACAGGCAAGGGTATTGCTGGCAGCCATTTTAGAAAATATTGAGAGAGATGGGCTTCGCTTACGTAAATATTGGAGATAGACACAACAGCTTTTTGGCACACAGACTGTCAAAATGGAAACTTATTTAGTAGAAACAAAAGCCTGTCAACTTTTATGGCTTACTTTCAGGGGCAGAAATGTTGCAGAAATGCAAGAGGCCACAGGAATGTACTATGGGGAGGGAAGAGTTGGAATGATTGACTGTGGTGGTATGAATGGGGAGGAAAGAGAGAGCAAAATATGCTTGGACTGGCACCCATCACAATTGTTCATACTGACTTTGCACAATCTTTACAAAGTTAAAAGGCATAGGAAAATCTGTGCTAAAATCCTGAACAGGCCAATCTAACATGATCAATGTGACTGAGCTCACAATTTAAATTGGTGGAATTCTATGGGAGTAAAAAGGTAAAGGGACCCCTAACCGTTAGGTCCAGTCGCGAACGACTCTGGGGTTGCGGCGCTCATCTCGCTTTACTGGCCGAGGAAGCCGGCATACAGCTTCCGGGTCATGTGGCCAGCATGACTAAGCCACTTCTGGCGAACCAGAACAGCACATGGAAACGCCGTTTACCTTCCCGCCGGAGCGGTACCTATTTATCTACTTGCACTTTGACGTGCTTTCAAACTGCTAGGTTGGCAGGAGCAGGGACCGAGCAACGGGAGCTCACCCCATCGCGGGGATTCGAACCACTGACTTTCTGATCGGCAAGCCCTAGGCTCTGTGGTTTAGACCACAGAGCCACCCGCATTCCTTGTATGTGAGTAAAAAAAGAGAAAAAGTGCATTTTAAAAAATGAACAAGGCTGAAAAATTATGCACATGACTGTTTGCTAGGAAACTTAAACGAAGAACAGCCAGGAAACAAGGGACATATCCAAAAAAGGTCATTAAACTCAAGACCTCTGAAAGATGGTGTCTAGAAGTAATTAATTTAAGAAGTTCAGGAAAGCAAAGCAGGAGCACTAGATTAGGAAGTGCTCATGCCAAGCCAAATCCATGGCTAATGCTGTCTGCTCTGATTAAACAGATAAGCCCTGCTCCAATAGGAATAAATAAGTATGAATATTCTCCCTTGGACTGATCTGGGAGGTGAGACTGCACAGTGGTTTGGGACACTAATCTGTTGAGCAGATGATACTATTGAGGTGGGAACAAAAAGGAGAAGCTGCTTCTCCATACAGATGATCAGCACTGCCAAACTTGACTGCGTTGACTTCCTGCTGATTAGCAAGACGTGACTAGCAGTATGTGGGCAGCCTAACTTTCTGGCAACAATTCCAGTTCAAACACTTTGCTTGCAGCACTGTGACT